ATGAGGAGAGAGCATATGGCTATGAAGGGAGACACAGGAATTCTCTAGGGGTCGAGTGAATGAACGATTTTGTACTGGAGAAGCTAGACAAGACAAAAAAGGATGGCACTCATGGCTGATATCGAGGCGATGTTCCACCAGGTACGAGTACTGCCTGAGCATCGAGTCGCCCTGCACTTCCTGTGGTGGACAGACGACCAACAATCGGGAGACCCGGTCACTTACCGGATGAAGGTACTTCTCTTCGGGGGAGTGTGGAGCCCAACATGTGCTGGATATGCACTACGACGAACATTCCAAGACCACGGGCAAAGGCTCCATGAAGAAATTAAGAAAGCAAGTCGCAACTTCTACGTCTATGATCTGCTTCTTTCAGTAGCATCACCAGGGAAGGTGGCGATAGTCACTCACCAACTGAGGCAGTTAATGAAGAAAGGAGGGTTCAGACTTACAAAATGGATCTGCAACCACAAAGGGGTCCTCAGAGCAGTCCCACAAATGGAAAGGGCCATGGAAGTGAAAGAAGTACTTTTGAAGGATGACAGACTCCCAGCTGAGCGAGCATTGGGAATCATGTGGAATCTAGAGAATGACGAACCTGCAGTCCCAATCCAGATCCCAACGAAGCCACAAACGAAGCGAGGTCTCCTGAGTATGGTCAGCTCCATATACGACCCATTAGGAATCATTGCTCCGAGCACCATACGAGCCAAAATCATATTCCAGGATGAGTGCAGGCGAGGCATCGGGTGGGATGAGCAAATGACCGAACACAACAGCAGTTGGCGGCAGTGGCTAAATGAACTTCCCCACTTGTCTCAAGTACGCATCCCTTGATGTTACCACCCTGAATGCGCAAATCCAATAACTACGGTACAACTGCACCACTTCTGCGACGCCTACCAGCAAGCATACGGGGCTGTATCCTACCTCAGGATCACAAGTGGAGATGGAGCCCACTCTACCTCCTTTGTGTGCGGCAGAGCCAAGCCAGCTCCTCTGAAACAGCAAACCATACCTCGGCTCATGCTATGTGCAGCAGTGTTGGCGGCCAAAGCAGACAAACAACTGAGAGAAGAACTAGAGTTGCAGATCGACAGATCAGTGTTCTGAACAGACAGCATGGTCACCCTTCAATACATACAAAACACTGAACGGCGCTTCCATACCTTTGTGGCAAACCGAATTGCAATGATACATGAGAATTCTGACGCAGAACAATGGCGACACGTGAGCTCCAACCAAAACCCAGCTGATGATGCCAGCCGTGGACTGCATGGGGCAGAACTGAACAAGAACTGCAGATGGATTCAGGGACCCCCCTTTCTCCTGTTGGGAGAAAACAATTGGCCAGAGAACCCAAAGCCGATTCCTAACCTTGCAGATGGAGACCCGGAGGTAAAATGAGATGCAAGAGTACTGGCAATGAGCACTGACCAGGGGGAGAGTACCCTAAACGGGCTATGGGCAAGGTACTCCTCATGGCATCAGCTACTGAAATTGTGGCGTGGCTCAGGAGGTTCATACAGTGGCGCTCCAGCAATCCAAAGGAAGAACGTCACCAGGAAGATCGACTGAAGATCAGTGAGTTAGATGAGGCAAGATTAGCCGTCTTGCGACTGATACAAAGGGAGGGCTTTCCCCACGAGATGGAAGCGCTGGAACGAGGACACTCCATCAGGACTGGTGACATAAGCAGACTGGAACCTTACCTGGGTGCAGACGGACTGATCAGATTAGGCGGACAACTGAAGCGTGCTGCTCTCCATCGAGAGCAAAAGAACCCCGTATTGTTACCCAGGGACAAAGAAACCACAGAACTTATCGTACAAGAGGTACATTCGACCAGGGCTGGCCACTCAGGATGCGAGCACACTCTAGCAGTGCTACGCGAGACATATTGGATACCCAAGTGCTGTACGTTGATCGACTGAGTACTACGTACGTGTGTAATTTGTCGAAGAAGCAATTGGAGGCCTACCCACCAACGCCAAGCTGACCTGCCAGAGGACCAGGTACATCCAGAAAATCGGCCATTTACCTGCACCTGAGTCAACTGTTTTGGTCCCTTCGTGTACTACGTACGTGTGTAATTTGTCGAAAAAACAATTGGAGGCCTACCCACCAATGCCAAGCTGACCTGCCAGAGGACCAGGTACATCCAGAAGATCGGCCATTCACCTGCACCTGAGTCAACTGTTTTGGTCCCTTCGTGTACTACGTACGTGTGTAATTTGTCGAAAAAACAATTGGAGGCCTACCCACCAATGCCAAGCTGACCTGCCAGAGGACCAGGTACATCCAGAAGATCGGCCATTCACCTGCACCTTAGTCAACTGTTTTGGTCCCTTCGTGGTTAAACAAGGCCGGGCCCGGGCGAAAAGAGGGGGATGCTTGTTTACATGTCTGGCCACCCAAGCTATACACCTGGAAGTCCTCACCTCACAATACACAGACTCATTCATCAAAGCCATGACGAGGTTTACATCCTGCAGAGGACCTCCCAAGCACATCAAATCCGACAATGGAACCAACATGATTGGAGCGAACAGAGAACTTCAGGAGGCGGTGAGTAAGTGGAACAGCAGTGACAATGTTAGGAACACACTCTTGCAGAGACAAATAGAATGGGAGTTCAACCCTCCGACTGCCTCTCACATGGGTGGAGTATGGGAGCGTCAGATACGCACGGTGAAGAAGGTTCTCCAGGGGGTGATGGGCACACAGGTACTAGACTACGAGCGACTCAACACCCTGTTCTGTGCCGTGGAAGAGATTGTCAAAGGGAGGCCCATCACCCCAGTATCCAACAACCCGAGAAACCTAGAAGCACTCACGCCGCTTCACCTACTGAGAATGCACGCCTGAACCCCACCCACCCCCCCCCCACTAGAGGCGATCAGTCCATAGCAGAAGCGTACCAACGAAAATGGAAGCATGCCCAATTTATTGCAGACCAATTCTGGAAGAGGTGGGCGAAAGAATATCTCCTGACACTCTGGCGGCGACAGAAGCACTTCCGGGTGCACTGCAACTTCTGCACTGGGGACATCGTCATCATATCTGGACATCCTCTCCCAAGGAGCAAAGGGATGCTAGGAAGGGTATTGGAAGCAGTACCGGGTGATGATGGCCTGGTGCGGTGTGCTAAAGTAAGACGAAGGACTCAGTGTTAATACGTCCAGTGACAAAGTTCTGCCTATTGGAGGGAGTCGGAGAGTGAGACTCCCGGCAGACAATGGGTTTCGAGCAAGCTCAACAGGGAGAGTGTTACCGCCAACATTCCGTAACAGAGACGTGACCAATCGCCCAAGCGGCTAACGAGCTGATCAGTGGTGAAGAGGATAAAAGTAAAAGTAAACACACACCCTCCAACACCACCAACACACACCCTCCAACACCACCAACACCACCAACACACACCCTCCAACACCACCAACACACAACCTCCAACACCACCAACACACACCCTGCAACACCACCAACACACAACCTCAACACCACCAACACACACACCCTCCAACACCAACCACCACCACACACCCTGCAACACCACCAACACACAACCTCCAACACCACCAACACCCACCCTCCAACACACACTCTCCAACACCACCAACACACAACCTCCAACACCACCAACACACACCCTCCAACACCACAAACACACACCCTCCAACACCACCAACACACACATTCACTCGACCCCTAGAGAATTCCTGTGTCTCCTTTCATAGCCATATGCTCTCTCCTCATATCGCTCCCTAATCTTTCCCGTGAATCTCTTCGCCAAAGTATTCAGTGATTCATACGTGTCTATTTTGTGCAGTTTTCCCAGTACCTTTAAATTGTTTACGCAATTTCCCAGATCGTCCGCGAGCTCCTGAAGTCCTTTAATGTCATCTGTTCTCACGGCTGGGCCACGTAGGACCTTGCCTGTATGTAGGCTTGCTTGTTGCCATAATGCTCTTCTAGCAAGGCTAGAGCTCGTTCGTATCCTGCCCTGGGGTCTTCTATTTGCAGGTACGCTCTCAGGGATTTCTTAGCGCGGCCGGTGTAGGCCGAGGGAAGTGTTTCCAATTTTAGTGCATAGGGTATGGGCGCCTCCCCAATGTGTCTTTGGAAGGCATGCTTGAACTCCCAATACTCATCGCAAGTCCCTCCGCTGAACCTTGGCATCGGCCTCTGGGGAAGCCTCATAATGGCCATTAACTCTTCCAGTCTCTGGGTTGGTAGCATCGTGTCCGATGGCCTTCCTTCCATCCGTCCTGGGCGTTCTTACTGTATATCTTGTAATACTTGGTTTTCCTTCTCCGGGGTTCCTGTTGATGTCACTGCTTCCGGAAAGTGGGTATGACGTGTGGAAACATGTTCCCTCTCCCCCTGATGAGATGATCCCGACTCTGAGGCGCTGAGTGTTGGGTGAATCTTATATGTGTGAATCTTATATGGTGATTTTAATATCATTATTTATCATTTTTATACATTTAGTACATTCTCCGTAGGGTGAAGTAGGTTTTACTGTATCGTGTGTCTGAAGTGTCTCCGTAGTGAAATAGTTCAATAAATTGGGTGAAAAATAATGGGAAAAAATGCTTCCCACTAAATAGAGAGTTCATTATATTGGATTCCGTTAAATCGCAAGCATACTGTATGGGCGAATTCACGATACGTGACGATTTCCAAGAACTACAACCCTCGCGAATACAGGGGAGTAAGTGTAATTTTAATGGTACAACAGCCAATACTGATTTTTTAAGAAAACAATTTTTGGGGGAATGAATCCAGTCCCAAGCAACTTTGTATAAACAGGAATTTACAGTAGTAAGCAAAAAAGATACGTGACAGCTTATAAAGCATGTAAATTCAAGAAATTTTAATCATCTACTTCTACATTAAATTAGCTGTCAAAACTGTATTTCTAAGCTAATAAAGGAGACAATAACATACTGACTAAAATTTATATGCTGTAGTTACACAATTAAATTTTTATGACTCACATAGCCAACGTCATAACAAGACCATCCTCAGTGACAATTGTGACGGGTTCTTCTCCAGGGTACACTATGGACAGAAGCTTGTTCATTGCCAAGTCAGCAGATCTCAAAGATTGAGCTCCATGTTCCATTGCTTTAGCCTTTTGGAGCTGAAAAGCAAGGATGTATTAGGCTATAATGTACACAAGACACTAAAAGCAAATCATCATCTGATTGCATTTGAAAATCATAGACAAAGGTCAAAATGATACACACTACAAAACATTTGCAAAAAAATTATTTTTAAACAGATTTGCATCAATACAATCAAGAGTACAGGAGGTCCCCGGGTTACGAACGGGTTCCGTTCCTGAGGACGTTATTAAGTCGGATTTGTACATAAGTCAGAACACATGCTATGTATATACAGTACCATACTTATAAAACAATGTTTAAAATCTCACTATATCTTTGCCTAAGTCCTTATATACAACTAGAATCACTTAATTTAATAGAAAAGAAGAAGTAAAAAGACAAAATACAGTAAATGAAAGTAAATAATAAGTCATCAGGTAAATACCCTGTACTGTAAATTTCAAGTTTAACCACATTCGTATCGTCAGGAGTTCGTAAGTCAGAGACCCCTTGTAAACAGTAATATCTCCGTCAGCCAGAATCCCTCAAACCCTGAACTCTCTGAAAGCCAGAATTAAAATTTGCTTGAAAAATCATTCCCATAAATTAAATTTTCCAAAAATTCCGGCTTTGGGAACAAATTCCGAGGTTGAAAATCGAGAGCATTTTCTGAAAATGTCTTGAATAAAGGCAAAAGCTAAAGCATTTTGGGTGGAGGTAGGGTGGGGGATTATTGGTCTCATATTACTGACCTTATGATGGAATGTCAGGTCACCCTTTCTTGAGTGGGGAATTATTGGGTCTCATGACCTGAAGATGTCATGAGACTAAAACTAAAGTATTTTTAGGGAGATTTTGATAAGTATAAGTATAAATAAGCAAAGTTGTATCCCTTCAACATAACATTACATAACATTTTAAAATATGGAGTGAGAAAGCAGAAAGATGGGTGAATAGAGAGATGGAGTGGAAAGGAGTGGACGGAGGATTGCTACAAGAAGCTTCCTGTGACGACATAACCGCTGCAGAGCAAGGCAAGACACATCTACAATAATTTGGTTGAATGTTCTGATGTTCCTGACAAAAATAAGCATGTTTTTCAAGCAAGAAAGGGCTGGCTGCAGAAATTTTTAGCAAGGTACACTGTAACAAACAAGGTGGTGTCTGGTGAAACTGCATCTGCCAATACTGAAGCTGCTCTTCGGTACCCACAGGAGTTTAGACAGATCATACAAGAAGGTGGATATTTACCTTGCCAACTGTTTAATGCTGATGAAACAGCTTTGTTTTGGAAGTGTATGCCTGACAGGACTTACCTTGCCAAAGAAGAGACAAGGATGTCAGGCTTCAAAGCTGCAAAGGATAGTGTGTCTCTTCTTTTCTGCGCCAATGCTTCAGGTGATTGCGCCAATGCTTCAGGTGATTACAAGTGTAAACCCTGCTAATAGCTCAGCCCGACCTCATCCCTTTAAGAACATAAGCATGTTAACCCAACCTGAGCATTGGCATGCTAATAAGAAGGGCTGGATGACGAAAACTATTTTTGAAGAATGGTATATGACTCACTTACGCACAGAAATGAGGAACTTGTGTGCAAAGAAAAACATCACCTTCAAAGTTATTCTTCTGTTAGATAACTGCACCAGCCACCACACAAACATCAATGATCTTCAAAGTGAAATAAAAGTTAATTATTTACCTCCACAAACTACATCACTGCTACAGCCAATGGATCAAGAAGTTATGTCTACATTCAAGCTGCTCTATCTGGACCTTACCTTTGAGGCCATTGTCAAGGCAATGGATGAGGATGAGGAACTCACAGTTCAACAGTAATGGGAGAATAAGTTCAACATCTACATGGTGTCCGGTTTATTGGCAAAGCGTGGGCTGCCGTCGGTGAAATATTTCTCTTGAATGGTTGGCACAAACTGTTACCTGACATAGCACCTGACTTTGTTGAGTTTGAGCAGGATCATTTGATTCCAGTCCTGAATAGGGCAAAAGCACTACCCGAAGAGGATTTTGAAGACCTACAATCTGCTGACATCATTAACCTTGTAGAAGCTCCTGAACAAGAATTATCTAACAGCAACGTTCTTCAGTTAACAGATTGGTCACCGAATGATCCTGGGTTAGAAGAGGAAGATGAGGAGCATGTTGAGCCCAGCCCTACATTAAGCATGCCAAACCTTGCAAAAATACTGACCCTCCACCAGCAGTTAATTGATCTCATATATGAAGCTGACCCCAGTTTCGAGAGAGAAGAGACCTTAACTTCAAATTTAACTAGAGACATAGTACCCTACAAGGAAATTTATTGGGAACATCTGGCAACAATCAAGCAACCAATGATCATGACTTTCTTCCAGAGCTTCTCTGCATCACCAACATCAGTGCTATTACCTGCAACACAACAACAGAAAGAGCAACAAGAACCAACACCAGGTCCATCAGGGGTCACTCATGCCCATGCATCAACCCCTACAGTAAGTGACAGTGACTCTGATCCAGACAGCCCACCTTCACCACCATCTCCAACCCCTAATGAAGCTGACACCCACACCTACAACGATGACAACGACGCCCCCTCCATGGATGTTGATGTAGATTCCAGCCTCAGTAAGTAGAAGTTTCAAAGACATGCCCATAAGCATGATAATCACTGATATTTTTTTTTGATTATTAAGTTACTGTTAGTGTACCTACACATTTCTGAGGTATATTTTGGTCAGTTAGGGGATGCTTCTTTGGGGTTGTGAGAAGAAACTAATTTTTCCAGATTGTTATGTGTTTATATGTACGGCTTTGCTTATCACGGTAGTTTTCTGGAACCTAATCCCCACGATTATCGAGGATACATGTATATATTTTTTTAGTATTTCTGGTAACCAACTCGGAGAGTCTGAAAAAAAGACAAATTCCGATATATTGAAGTCCAATTTATTGAGGTTTTACTGAACATACAAACACAGGCAATAAAAGTGCAAGCTAAAGCATCTATAACAGACAACTATGTAAAAATAGACAAAATCTTATTAATAGCTTCACATACAGAACTATTAGTAATAGCTGTTCCATTGATGTAAAATTGTAACTGGCACACACACCTGATCAGGTACATACTGGAGCTTGTGTAAGCCCAGGACTTGCCCACAGTACATAACAGAGACTGCAAAGTAATGCAGAGGGAACAACAAGAAAACTTCTGAGTCCTTGAAGCAAAGGAGGGAGGAGTCAGTGAGGAATGGGGAATGACATAAATGGGCTATATGCAGGGGGAGGGTAGTGGAAGCAAGTGCACCAGTTCAGAGCCAGGAGACAGTGGGACAACCCCCATCCGCTCTACCTCCCAACCAGGAGGAGGCGAGTGCCATGTAAACAATGTCATCTCTGATCACACCCCACAAAACACAAGGGATACAGTAAACGAGGCAGCTGCAGATAATGGAGGAGGGCTGAAGTCATTACCAACACCAGAAACATTACTGAGGACAATTTCCGGCTTGAAAGACAAGTACTGTACACTAATACTGACACATTCCTTGACAAGAGAGCGGAGTCTGAAACACTACTGAGGGTACATCAACCCTGTATATGTAGTAGGTGTTGTAGAGCTGTTGTACTAAAGCAGGAGAATCGAACCGGAGGAATGAGTTCAATAAAGATGGATATGACCCATTTATGAAACTTTCCCAGGAAACTTGCAAGAGGGGCATGGTTATCTATGCTAGGCAAGACCTTAGGGCCAGCCAGGCGAGGGTACAGGGAGAGGATTTTTTCGAAGAATCAAAGTGGTGTAAAATTAAACTGAGGAAGAGAGACTTACTTATTGTGGGATGTATCTACAAATTCCCAAACAGTAGCATATTAAACCAAAGGAACTTAAGAGCCTTAATTGACAATGTAACAGCGCTAAACCCTAGCCACCTCCTTGTCACGGGGGAGTTTAATTATAGTGACATCAACTGGAGAAATGAATCCACGCCATACAACCAAAATAATCCAGCCACTCTTTTCGTGGAAACTCTGAGAGAATTTTCTATTCCAACATGTTAAAGATCCGACTCACTACAGAGAGGAGCAAACACCCAAACCATTGAACCTTGTCATAACAAATGAGGAGGGAATGGTGGCAAATCTGGAATGTCCAGCCCCAGTTGGCACCAGTCACCACATAATGATATCCTTCAGAGTTAACTGTTACTTGGTTCATGACAAAACCAGGCAAAGGTTCAAATATTACAAAGGAAATTGCAATGGGATAAGGGAGGAGATGAGTATACAGTGGACTGACTCACTAAGGCATAAGAACTTGGATACTACACTGAATATCATAGCCAGTAAAGTTAACCATTCGATTGATAAATATATACCCAAGACCAAACCCAGTGCCTCTAGGAATACAAGGAGACCGCTACACATGAACCATGTGGCGGTTGGCAAAGTTAAGAAGAAAACTCAGGATCTCAAGATGTGGGTTCAGACAAATAATGAGGACAGGAGGAAGTATGCCAGATCCAGGAACCAGGCAAAGTCAGAGTATAGCAGGACTGAAAAAGAGTTCAGGAGGCAGATTGCAAGTGAGGTCAAGTCAAACCCAAAGGCTTTTAACCACAAGGCAAAGTCACAATTAAAAACACAAGTAGGCATATCAGACCTGAGGCTTGAAGATGGTAGTTATGCAGATTCTGACCAGGATAAGGCAGAGGCATTGAACAAATTCTTTTTATTGGTGTTCACAAGAGAGGATGTGAACAATCTTCCTGCGTTTGAGGAAAGACAGTTTGACACAGTTCTGACCAACACCGTGTTCTCAGATGAGGTTATAAGAAATAAAATTTCAAAGTTAAAGATTCACAAGAGGCCCAGCCCTGATATGGTACACCCAAGAGTGTTAAGAGACCTGTGTAACGAGTTTGTGGAGCCCCTTAAGATCTTGTTCTGCAAATGCCTAGATGAGCGAAAGGTCCCTGATGACTGGAAAATGGCTTATGTGAGTCCTATATTGATAAAGGGCGATTGTCACTCCACAAATAATTATAGACCAGTTAGCCTGACCAGCATAGTGTTCAAAGTACTAAAGAGCATTATAAGAGACGCTATGATGGAACATCTTCTACAAAACAACTTTGTAAAGGATTGCCAACACGGTTTTCTGCTGGGACGATCCTGCTTAACACAATTACTCAAGGTCCTGGATGCTTGGTCTCAAATTCTGGAACAAGGCGGAAATATCAACGATATATATGTACATATTACAAAGGCTTTCGACAGCATACCCTATGAAAGGCTGAGAATTAAACTAGAAGGGTATTGGATTTGGGGAAGTGTCCTAGCATGGATCGTAGACTTTCTGCATGATCAGTGTGGTGATAAATGGTACTCAGTCATGAGCCTGTGACAAGCGGGGTACCATAGGGCAGTATATTGGGCCCGTTGTTGTTCGTTTACTTCATAATAAATTATTTGATATGCCAGAAGCTTTACACTCCTCCACAGAAATGTTTGCAGACGATGCCAAGTTATTTAGGGAAAATAAGAACTAAACAGACTGTGAAGACCTACAGAAAGATCTCTAGAGTTTCAAGAATGGTCGAAGAAATAGCTGCTAAGTTTCAATGCCACAAAGTGCAAAAGGATGCACCTGGGTTGCACCAACAGTAAGGAGGCATAACTCATGTCTCAACAGGAAGAAGATACTGCATTAATTGAGACCGAATGAGAAAAGGACGTGGGTGTGCATGTCAACAATGAACTTAAGTTCCCGGGCCATCGTTTAGATATCTGGATGGTCTGTCGCTCATCACGATCTTCAAGAGTGAGGTGTTTCCCCTTCTGGAGTACTGTCACCTCGTCTGATCCCCGAGGTATGCTAGAGACTGTCAATTGATTGAAAATGTCCAAAGGAGGGCCACCAGACTGGTGCTTGCTCTACGGAGCCTCAATTACCCAGAGAGATTAGAACACCTGAAACTACCAAGCTTATACAACAGTTGGGCAAGAGGCGACCAAATTGAAGTGTATAAACATCTTCGGGGGCACTACTCTGTTGAATGTACATACCTGGAGCTGACCGACATCTGCCCAACAAGAGGTTACAGCTCAAGGTTGAAAAAGCCACAAGTCCAGAAAACTGTGAAGGTAAACTGTTTCGGAGTGAGAATTATGAACTCTTGGAACAATGTGCCTGACACCATTGTGAAGGCACTGTGTGTGAGCTCATTCAAGGCCAGACTTGACCAACACTGGAGCAGGTTCCGATATATTCAGGACCCAGTGCATGCCCAGTACTTGTCAACAGTGCGAAACAGAGACGTGACCAACCGACCAAGTGGCTAATAAGCTGATCAGTGGCAAAGAGGATAAAGTAAAGTAGATAGTGCAGTGTTTTATAGATGTGTATAACATCATAGTTATGCATATCTGATAACAAAAAGTTAAAAACACAGAGATATTACTTACCCCAAGAGTCTTCTCTTTGGACAGTTCCTCATCTTCACCTATTGTCCCTTGATCACCACTATTTACTTCAGTGGCTGATGAATATTCACCTAAAGTTGCTGTCTGTACATCTATTGCAAGGACCATATCCCCAATCACCTTTTTGCTGTTGCTCTGATAGGAAATAGAAGCAAAGTTTTAGATATTTTAAATACAAGTTTTGAGGTGTTGAATCTAGCAATTATTGTACATTATTTTTAATCTTTAATAACAAGAACACAACAAGAGGATGGAAATACTAAAGCAAATACGAGTGAGTGTGGGAACCCATTGTCTAAGGGTAAGAACACAAAGAAAACAGGTTACCCGCTAGCGGCTTGCCAGCGACAAGTGTCATGAATGTGACCATGCTATCAAGTGTGGCCACATACAGTAGAAGCATGTTGAAGCCTGCCAGCATTGGTTGCCTGCGCTGACAAATTTACCGGAATGAACAAAACACTCTTTTCTCGCCTGCCCATGGGGGTCGACATGTTGTTGAGGCAATGCTAGTTGTGCGAGGTGTTTTACTAATACAGTGGTCCCTCGGTTAACGAGCACAATTTATTCCACAGAGTCGTTCGTTAACCGAATCTATTATTTCAATGGGATATTGGGTAATTGGTTCCAACTCACAGAAAAAGTACAAGTTAACCCTCACTTTACGCGGTTAATGTAACCCGGAGGGTACCGCGGAAAGTGAGGAACGCGTAAAGTGAATAACATAACATATGGGATTAATTGAAATGGAGTCCGGGCCGATCCCCAAACTCCACTTTTTGACGACACACAACTATGTTGTAGTAAAAATTTTATCTTAACTTTATGATGGTATGAAAAAACAAGTAATATAGAAGAGGTTAGGTTAGGAAAGATAAAGGTTAACATAGGAAAAATAAAGGTAAAGTTAGAAAACTAAAAATTAGGTGTAACTTACGGTAGTAGAAGAGATGGGTCGGCATACGGGGATGGAGGCTGGTTCCGAGGCAGAGGGCAGATTACTGGCCCTCAGGTGAATCACCATTACTAGGTGAATCACCATCACTGTCACTTACAGTTGTCAGGGCTTCCCTGACAAATCCCTCAAAGTCATCTTCACTGCCACTATCACTGGCTTGGGCTGGCTGTGGTGGGTTGCGGGCGAAGAAATCTGTTATGCTTTGCTGACGGCTGGCGTTGATGTTGTCGTGATACACCTTGATGTACGGCTCCATAGCCTGCACCAGCCGGTTATGGAAGACTTCATAGCGGTCATCGTCATTGTCGCGGGAAAGGAAGGACTTCATCTTCTCTGCACACTCCATGGCACCCTTAATATCACTATGACTTAAATTGTGTTCTTCGGAGACTGACGCACCTTCTTCCTCCTCTTCACTGACGTGTTCTTCTTCCAACATCTCGTCGGCAGTCACTTCAGGATCTCTGATCACCTCCAGGATGTCGTCGTTGGTGGTCTCGGAGAAGCCTGGAACTGTAACAGTCTGCGCAGCTTCTCTGGCAAGGTCCACTGCTACTGCAACATTCTGAACCTCACCAGTCACAGATTGACTCCTCCTCTCACCTGGTATTCCATGCAACACATGTCTCCATGCGTGACGAATTGTAGCAATAGACAGCTGATCCCATGACTCCACCAAGATGTCCACAGCTTTCTTGATGTTAAATACTCTCCAGAATTGTTTGAACAGTATTTTTTGCTGTGCCAACTGTTGATCCTCATCTTCTTCGCTCTTGCTATCGGTGGTGGTGTCACTCAGGTTACGCAACTCTTCCCTGGTGTTGGTGTAGTCGTTCAGGAGCTGGAATTTTTTTGTTGAGAATGCAGCTTTCACATTGCAAATCAACTCCTGGTCCATGGGCTGGATTAAAGACGTAGTGTTGGGAGGAAGGAAGACCACTTTTACGTTGGGGTGACGATCTAACAGTAGGGGCGAGTGTCCTGGTGCGTTGTCCAGCAGCAACAAAATATTAAATGGGACATTCTGTCGCTCACAGAATTTCTTTACATCGGGAACAAAACAGTCATCAAACCAGGAGAGGGACAGTGTAGAGAACATCCATGCCTTACGTGCTGTCAGCCAGTGGACATTTAGCTTGGTCATGTCCATGCTCTTGTAGGCGTGCGGCTTGCGGGCTGTGTGGATCACCGATAACTTGAGCTTACAGGTACCGGAGGCATTGGTGGTAAACAGGACGGTGATGCGTTCCTTCTGCATTTTCCGGCCCCGAATCCTGCTGGCATTCTTCACAACGAAGGACTTGGAAGGTAGTTTTTTCCAGAAAAGACCAGATTCGTCCATGTTAAACACCTGGTCGTCACTGTACTGTCCTTCCTCCATAATCTCACGTAAAAACGGAGGAAATTCCCGAGCCGCAGCACGATCAGCACTCGCTTCTTCACCACCAATGTTTATATTGGTGATCTTGTTCCGGATCTTAAACCTCTGTAACCACCCAGAGGAAGCATTAAAGGGTTTGGGCTCTGAAGTTCCCATCTTTCGTGCCACTGCCATGTACAGTTCACGTGCGTAGTCCTTAACAGAGCGCGTGTCGACCGCCATGTTCCGTCGCGCCTGACGCACCAAGTACCTCACAAGTAATTTTTCTGTCTTGAGAAGCACCTGGTTGTGAAAATACTTGATCATAGAAGCACCTGTAGACTTTGTGATCTTCATGTGCTCCTTTATCTTGGCTGAATCCTTCTTTATAGTCCGGATCGTAGATTCGTTCACGCCATGCTGGCGCGCCAAATCAACCTGCCTTGTTCCTTTCTCCAACTCTTGGATGATGGTATACTTCACCTCGTAGCTTAAGGAACGTCGTGTCTTCTTTGGTTTAGTGCCGCTGGGTCCAGGTAAGGAAAGGTTTCTCTCTGGGGGTGGTGGTCCGGCGGAAGCCATTTTACGGAACAATGGATGCGCGTTTACACGGAGTGGCCTTGAGGGATGAAACTGCCGCGGCTAGGTCAAGCGTCGTCTTTCCTCCCTCCCTCCCTCCCCCGGGTGGACACGTCATAATACTTTAAGCCAATTACAGCTAGCAGCAGAGGGGGGTAGGGATGCATGGCCAATCACAGGTCTGATACGTCATATGACGTCAGTGATAACGCAACAAAGACACACACTGCGCAACCTTACCGCGCCGCTTGCCCAAGCGGAGGGAGGAGGAGGGAGAGGCAGGCAGGCAGGCGGGCGGGTGGCGGGTGGGGCGAATCTAAAAATAGCGTCGCGCCGGACACTCTCCGCGTAATGGGGTTCACGTACCGCGTAATGTGAGCACGTGAGGTTCTGGCAAGGCACCGCGTTAACGTGGAAACGCGGAATGCGGGACCTCGTAAAGTGAGGGTTAACTGTACATACAAAGTACTGTACTGTATACCAGTAATAGAATTAACAAAACATTAAATATAAACTAAATACAGTACTGTACTGTACAGTATACTGTACAATAATATATAAAAAACAATAGAATACTGTATTATAACTTACTTTGAAGTGTGTATGTTATATTACCAGCAGCTTTGTTTACATATCAAACAGCTGATTGTAGAGGCAGTTGATGATGATGCCATATTCTTTACAGAGTGCATTGGTTCTAATGCCTTCTTCATGTTTCATAATAATTTCTGCATTGTATATTATCAATATGTTAACTAAATTTCAGAATGACCAATAATTTTAATATGAAATATGTAAAAATATTCAAGAGACTACAGTGAGTTCTGCTATAACGCGTGTTTTGATAACGCGAATTTGCTCTAACGCGATTTATGAATTCGGAACAATATTTGTATAACGCGATCGCTTGTTTGCTATAACGCGATTTTTGCTTACTATTTCTCCAATTTTGTGGTATTAACTGTGAATATGGTAAAGAGGAATATCTCCAAAAAGCATTCTGATGATAGAATTCCCGGTGATTATCGTAAAAGAAAGGATATAACACTTGAAGAGAAGCTTGATGTTATCAACCTCAAAATCACCCTTCTCCCCATCAAGTTACATTCATATTTTTTCAAGGTAAAGTGTTAAATTTACTGTATGATTTCATTATTAGATATGAATGTAACATTTATTTAGACTGTGCTATCCTTTGTGTTAGGCTAACTACTAAATTTTTTCGATTTCGAGTAATCTGCACCTAACCCTATTTTCTCCATAAGCCCTGTTATTTCTATTACGCGATTTTCTATAACACGATATTTTACAAGAACACAATTATCGCGTTATAGCAGAACTACCTGTAACTTTCTAGCTGATCAGCTGATGCGCACAACAAAACGTGTTTGTCGAAAGGACATCGTTAATCAAAGTTTTGTTCATTAATCGAACTGAAAATCCTTATGGGAGCTAATTTGTTAACTGAAATTTCGTTAATCAAATCGTTCGTTAACTGAGGGACCACTGCATTTTCTCATGGTGGAAGTAGAGGTTTTGATAGCCTATGTAGTTTATAAGTTTCCTAAGTCATTTTCATGTATTGAAAAAACTTCCTTGGGTCCCTAATTTAGCTCATTGTAATTTTCTCTACTGAGATTGATTTCATGTATTCTAATTCTTTTCCTCCTCATTTTTTGCATAAACACTATTGAGCAAAAGAAAATCTTCATCAGATGACGAACTAGATCTGTTTATTGTACGACAGCTGGACCACAACTCGCAGATATACCTACATCCTCTGTGTCCGCCTACCAGCGCTGACTGCCGGTGCTGGAAACCGGCAAGCGGGTAACCTGCTTTCTTTGTGTACTTACCCTAAGGCAAGTTAATTTTGTCATTGGGCTGATTAGTTTCTTCCAAACACTGGTCTTGTAGCTATTGATAAAATTACACATCGATAAAATATACAAGCTGGACAATAGTGTTAGGTTGGTGAGAATAGTTCTTTATTTTCTTTAAAACAAACAAACCAAAAACAATCAGCTGACAAGACACAGTTGATCCTACAGTCTTGGGAATATTCAAGATCAAATGGTTAGCACTCACACAGCTTGTGAAAGTTCAGATATCAAATTTTAGAGAGATAGTGAGGTTTAGGCACTCTCCTGGAAAGTAAAAAAAGAGACATAACAAGTATATTGATCTGTGTGTGTGTGTGTGTGTGTGTGTGTGCACACACACACAGCAGGTGACCTG